ATTACTGTACCTACAACACGAGTTATTAAAAACATAAAATTAGCTACTGATATGGATTTTTAATTCAAATTTTCGTAACGGTTTTAAGATTGTGATGTTGTGTACTGATTTATATTCTCCCTTGTATGGATTTAAATAAGTAATTATATATTCTTGTGCTTTCTTGATTAATTATTTACTATCTTTTACCGCGTGCTTTTAAGTGTCGTAAAATGTTCTAATGTTTCAGATGCATTCAACGGATTTCAAGCAAACAGTTATTTATCTCACGCAAAGATTCAATATTCAAAGCATTGTAAGAATACGCCGATACTTGTTTTTCATTGAGCTTCACTCAGAACCTTAGTTAATTAGTTTTATTCTTCTTGAGCTCATTGTGTGGGCGATGCTTTTATTATGTAAATGTATAAAGTCTGATGTCGATTTTGGATTCTCGTAGGCTTTGCAATATTCTTGTAAAATGATTCATATACATATAATATAATTCACCAAACGTATTCAATATGAGCCAACAATCAATACATGCCTATTATGAGTATCAACCATAAATATTGTTGTTTAACATACAAGACAAATCGTATATTTATGTGCTCTTTGTTGAGGAATTCCCAAAAAAGTTTAAACATTTTTCTAAGCTATTTCTCTTAACATGCAACACACAGAAGGTTCAGTTGACATCCGACAGAATGCGATCCATGCTTGCTGCACTACATCCCAACCACAAGAACGCTTTTCGCTGGGGCAATTTTTCGTGAAATAAATTCATACAATTTTAAATACAAGTAAAAATAATTTATATAAACTATCGGACGGCGGAAATTAACTACCAATAAAGGTATAATTCTCGAAGCACTTTAAAATATGGCAATGAAACACAAAAGCAGGTTTACAGGGTGGGGATGGGGTTCAATGACAACATTTATACAATAGTTCATTTTTAGCCTAATTGACAAAAAGAACATTTCAAAAAGATACGAAATAAAATACACTGTGAAAATATACGGTAAAGGTTAGTTGGATTGTACTCGTATTTATATGGTATAATGTGTTTTTTATGTTGAACATATAACATATTTCGTAGAAAGACTTTTCCCTGTGTGACTTTTTATTTTACGTCCTTAACAAATCCCAGTCGTTGCAGGAGGCGCGGCCGATGATACCCAACGATATACAACACTCCTAGTATATCGGATATACAGGAATGTTGTATATAGTTGAAGATACGCACAGTGTTTGCTACAGTATGTAGTTTTCCGATTGCTGCTCCCATCATCAAGTCGTTGTGTCCATGACTTTGCTCTTCTCCAATACTTCATAGCCTATATTATTTTATATTGGAGCACAGACTGACAATACTGTGTTCATTTAATAGTTAGGTTTCATTGATTGTCTTGGCACTGTATATTAAATGGAATGTCGTAAATTGAATTTATCCTGAAAATGTTGGTCTAATTTTGATGTGTTATTTTTTTGCCAAAACCTATCAAACAAACCATAATAAATTATTTACTTGTAAACTTTCTTAGGTACTTAAAATGACTAATTATTCAATTCGCGTTCATTGGAAATAATAACAAAATTGTTATTCTTGTCAAAGTAGGAGAAATAAAGAAAGAAATCAGCTTCAACGTGATAGTTTAATGTAAAAAACGGGGAAAATTTGTGTTTTATACACAAAACATAAAGTTTTCCAGGGAGAGGACACGATGTAGGCAAGAAGCCGCGTTTAACAATATGCTTAATCATACACGAAGTAATCTTGAAAGCACTGTTATATTTACTTGATTTTTTTTTAAACTTAACCCTCAGGGTGATCACTGACAATGAGGCTAGGTGGAAATACGAGCCACTTTCCAGTTTATGACACTTTCCCGCTATTGTAACACGACCTCTTGGCTTTACCTTTCTATTTTTTACTTAGATATTTGATGATGTTCAAGATTTCAAACACTGTATAATCAAATAAATTAGTTTAAAAAATCATAGAAATCCCAATAATTATGAAATTTAAGTCAAACATACAGACCAGTGATTTAAATTAAAAACACGCACTACACTAAATATTATTTGATTGCCAATTATAAACTTTTGTCAAATAACGAGCTTCATATAAACAAACCATTAAGCCACGTTCATTCCACGTGGAAGGTAGGCCACTTTATCAAGTTTATTAGGCAAGTCAAGCGACGTCTGTGCTGTCAGGGTATGTTTCCCACGCTGCAAAGTTGCGTTGAGACGATGAATCGCCCGGGCACTTTGTAATCATTTTCCCGTCCGGAAAGTGCGTAAACAGCTTAAGCGAGTTGGAACACGCGATGTTATTGAAAATATTAAGTTTTTTTAGAACTTTTCCAAGATATGAGGAATATTATTTTGGCTGTTGTCGATCATGGGCGCTGAGTTTGGAAAGATTTTCAGGGGACCTAAGAATAATTAATAAGATGGGAAGGATTATGTAATTACAGTACATATTTTGTCCAGTTAAATCTTTTTAAATGGCAGCGAGTCATTAAAAGACATATTTGTGAGTTAAAAAGGATAAAGTTTTATGTAAATAACTAGTATACCAATTAAAGCAGACACTAAAATACTTTAAAAGAAAGTAGTTTTCAACAGACCATTAGGTTACAATTTTGTACGAATTAGAGATTTATTCAAGGTTTTCAGAACAAAGATTGAAAGGTGATGGTGGGTGGTGATTTTGTCCCATATTTCCAGGACGAGACGAGTTAGGAATCGTACGTTAAATATAAAGCGTTGATTATTTAAGTTATAAATGATAGAATGCAAATGTTTTACAAATTAAGTATATGCACATGGAATATATGTAGTAGATGAGGCAAAATTAAATTTTCAAAATATGTTATGTTTTGTACAGTTTTTGGTTAACTTAGAGACCTATTAGTAACAATTTTTTACAGAATTCAGATATTAACACTCTATAAGTATAAAATAGTTGTTTTGTATATTTATTTGTATATATATATTTGGCAGTGATAAAATTAGACACCACTGGATCGATGGCCACAAAACTTGATACATACATGTAGAATTGCATGGAGGATATCAATTTCGGGATAATTTTCAGGACTAGAAAAACGGGCCCATCTTAAATGTACCCAAGTCAGGGATTTTGAAAGAATTTTTGTTAGATTTGTTTACTAACAAAACATATGAAAGTAAAATGTAAAACAGGTGATGTAAATAAATGGCATGTTTCATTGTGCTATTTGTATTTGTTTAAATGAGTGCCCTTTGGTTAATGAATTAGACATTTGCATATATTTTAAATGCATTAAAAGAATCAAAGAATATTGACAGCTGTTTCAAATAAACTAACAAGTTGGGTTCTATGTTGATCAATAGCATTTAAAGTTAAGGTTTAACAACAGAGTGCAGCACTATAATTCTTTTGTTCTCCCCGTTGCAAAGCACGGGTACATCAGCTAGTTAGAACTATAAAAATGTAAATCACACATCTTAACATTGTTTTTTAAGGTAAATTTTAATGATCTAATAAACGCATAGGCCAGCATAAGTTTAGGACGCAGACTTAATTATCACGGAACATCATAATATTGTGATCATCTCCCGCGGTCGTGGCGAAATCATTGAAATTATCCGCGATTATGGAGACATCGTGATCTTCTCCCACCATAGCTACAAAACCATGCTGATCATCGGCTGAGATTGTGGTAAACTCACAAGACGATCACGGAGACAAACTTAACTACCGTCTCTCATTTTTGCGGAAAGATTGTAACAATTATATAAAAATGTAAATTGTTTATGATTGTGATAAAGGTGTTTGGTTTCTTTCTTTAATGTTTCACCCCAAACTTTTCGAATGTGGACCATACATACATCTCCATACTTGGCTTAAAATACATTCCTTCGTATGGTTGTAGTCATTTCTAATACAGTAAAAGTTTTAAAGTATTAATTATCCTGAACCTAGATGGTTTCAATTCTATGTACAAATGTAGTCAACTAGTAAAAGTCTGCATCAGTAGCTTGGCAATTATTATCAATTTTTACAAATATTATTTATATAAAAAATGCTGAGTTAAAATCATTAGTCCGGAAATCTATAATATTAAAACGAAACAGTGTTTTTTTATTTCACGATTCTGAATCAACCACTCGACGGATTTTCATGATTTTTGTGTTGAAAGAAAGATAATTTTGAGAACTAGGGAATGTCGAAGCCATAATTTTAGTTTAGGGTCCCAGTTTTTTAGAAATTAAATTTTAATTTTTAAAAAGTCTAGCAGCCGACGCTAAGATTCTAAACTAGCTTTTGGCATAAAATAATTTGCTTAATATAACAGCTGTAAACATTCAGCGTTTGTGTCACAAATTCAGCATTTGGATAATAATGTAAAGACATACTTAGGGTAGACTTATTTATACTATGTGTAATGCTAATCATTGATACGTTCAATTCTTCTGTAAGAGGATGACAGATTAATTAAATATACATAGTAAAATACTAGGATGTTCAAATTATTTTTTAAGGCAATCATTGTAATCTTCGATTTGTTTTAGAGCAATATAATTTGTTTTAACTAACAGCTGGTTAAATATAAAAGTATTCTTTAGAACTATCAGGTTAGTTTTTTTTTATTCTGTGATTTTGCCATTGATTATAGGAAATAAGTAAGATTCTATAACCACTGATGTATACAAAGGGTTTTCAAAGGAAAGCTTATGCAAATTATTTGTCTGTTCGACTGTTTGAGGAAAGAATTGGAAAATAACTATGTTTACATGTTTTAATTCAACTTGGCAGCTTTTTTTGTTTTCAGTAAATGTTTAACCAATTGAACTTTGTTGGATTAGAAATGGAAATATTGATATAACTTCAGTTTTAGTTGAACACTCAATTCCCGTATGTTGGACGGGCCTACAGCTCGTTAGATGTTAAAAATAAAATAATAATAAAAAGTATTTTCCTTATTTTAGAATTTATAATACACACATTAATTTATTTTTTTTAGATGGATGGGGAGTTGGCATACCTGCAGATAGTGCTACCAAGTGACAAGGCATGGCGCACTCACAACTACTACAAACTGGTAGAGAGGCAACGCAACAACCCTCCCTCCGAGCGACAACCGTAAGTACAACCACAACCACACAACCAAAACTACACAACCACAACTACTACAAACTGGTAGAGAGGCAACGCAACAACCCTCCCTCCGAGCGACAACCGTAAGTACAACCACAACCACACAACCAAAACTACACAACCACAACTACTACAAACTGGTAGAGAGGCAACGCAACAACCCTCCCTCCGAGCGACAACCGTAAGTACAACGACACAACTACACAACCACAACCACAACTACACAACCACAACTACACAACCACAACCACGACCACACAACCACAACCAGGGTAAACGTAGATGACACATTCTGGGTACAAGCTGGGAAATAATAAGTTTTAGCAACTATATAGCAAATTTTTTTAAGATTAATTTTCATATTCTAAACGTTGCAATCTCTTTATAATTAAAAGTATCTGAGAATACGTCCTACGCATGTGGATCTAGTAGTGAATTAAAATATTTAATTATAAGAACAGTTGTTTACATAGTTATATTAGAATTTTTAAGAGATGTAGATTAATAAAAACTTTGGTTAAAAAAGTATGAATACCCTCGCTGCAGCAAACCTGCAGACTAAGCGAATTTAAACTTGTCTGATTACATTTTTACAAAAATATTTCCATAAATAAGACATATTTATTCCCAAATTTAAATAACTTTAGATTTAATGAGTGCTTAGGCTTGCTGCTACGGGGAAGGTAAAAACTGTTTTTTGACCATACGTCAATAGTATATGATGAAAAATTTTCCAAATTTTATCAATATATATCCATAAACAAATAAGCAACAACAGTTTTCATTTTCTCCATAAGAATAATATAGGAATTTTTTATTACACTATTTTTATTTTCCTCCGTGACCGTTAGGCATACAAAAGCGCTTCAATATACTCAATTATTTATTTTTTAAAGCTTATATTGCCTACTTTAAACTTCAATTTTATAAATCGATTATTTGTGGGAAACATGTTCCTACCACAAAATGTAGTATATTATTAGATTAAAAAAAAAAAAATACTTAGATTGATGGATGTGTTGGTTACAAAAAATATCAACAGAATATATATATATATATTACATAAGAATAATAAGTGTTGCCTACATAAACGAAGTCTGAAAGTCGACTACGATATTATTATTTTACTTAGTAGAAGTAGACTGCAAAATAATATTAGGATAAATTACTTTGACCAAAGACTGCTTTTAGAGCATGCTAATTATTTTCCTGAGCAAGGCTCGGTCCCAAGGTGCTTATTATCTATAAGGGGAACAATTTGTATGGTTAAAATAAATACGCTAGTGTATCTCGGTTGGAAAAATTAAGAACTGAAAGAATGAACGTGTTAATACGGGCATTCATTACAGCTCACGCACTTTCATGGTACACTTCAGTTTCAGTAATTTATTCTTTCCCTCTTTGGAGAGACAGTAGAGGGGTGCAACTAGGGGGTTGGGGGGGGGGGGTACCCCACCACCAGCTATATCTTTTGTCTAAACACGACGATACTCCTATCCACTTGTTGTCTTGGGTTGGGTTGGACTAACACCACAACCATAGCACTTGGTACTTCTGTTGCGAGACAACGTTTGATTTATATTTCTCTTATATTTTATATTTATTGTAAGCCACAACAAAAAAGAGTTAATCCGATACAAAATTATACTAGTCTACAATTTTAATCGTCAAATTTGTAGCGTAGGCCTATACAAAAATACACACCTCTAATTAATTTCAAAGTAAAACTAACTCCATGTGCCGAACGTTTCCGTGTACGCCTTCGTGAATTAAACATTGCTACAATGCGCTAAATAATTGTTCGATTATGTAGCTATATGTAGTTGTGTGTGTGTGTGGTCACGTCATCGGTCATAATGTCGTTGGAGAGTTTATGTGATGTCGAGGACGAGGAGATCCCCGTGGTGTTGCCTAGCGACCCTCAGTGGCGTCTGGATATATACTTCAGGATGCTGGAGAACCAGAAGAATCCGTGAGTAGCTATCAGGAGAGTCTTACAGGTGTTACATGTTATTCGTATTGTTTGTTAACTAAGTTAACTTATTATATTGTAAACTAAGTAAGGTTGATAACTGACCGGTGATCCTGACATTCCCTATGATGTCTCGAGATCTACTTTAGGATGCTGGAGAGCCAGAGAAATCCGTGAATAGTGACAAACGTGAGGGTCTTGAAGTAGACATAAAAATCTCACAGTTCAATCCAGTGATTTTTCTAGTCGGTCGTCTATGGAAGGTAACGCAGTGATACCAACGGTGCGATCCTCTATACGGAGTCTGTGATTGTAGTGGCGATTATGACAGTATTGGTGTAGATATACCTCACAACTCAGTATCTTGCAGTTAGTACACTGTGTGTTATATAAAAATCCAAGTACGATTTCATGGTTACCGGTGCGCGTAAACAGTTAACGACATCATAAAAGTTAAACGTAATTTTTTGTTTACTTCTTTCAGTCTCCTTATCTCGTCTCGGCCGGAGCAATCCATCTCCCCTTACTGCCGAATACACGTATTCATTAAATTTTAATTGTATTTTCACTAAACTTCCAATTTGTTTATAGCCAAAATGTCAAGTTACAAAGTCCCCAATTCCAACCTGTTAAATTGATTGTTTTAGCAATACAACGGTAAAACAAAACAAAAAATATGGCGTTTCTTAATCAAATCTACCTATTCCAACCATTGATATTTTGAAGACTCTAGTAGATCTTTATGGAGTAGCAGGAACAATTTTTCGAAAGAGCGCAGTTTGACAGTTGATTGAACCACTCACAGAGAAAATCTAAAATGATGTTGCCTCTCCTAGTTCCTATTAATGCTTAAAAAAAAGTTGTTCTTCATGTTACATTTGTACTAAATCAGAACTAGACATTCAATTTTCTTGTTACATTTGTTGTGAGTTGGACAGAGGTAGTTGTGTCCACCGATAGGCATTCTTATGAAATACCAACCTTTTAACCAAGCTTATTTTGAAAGATAACGTAGCATAATTTATGTCATAAACTATTTCACTAACAAAAACTAATGGAGAAAATCTAATATCACCTGTGTAGCACACTAAGTGAGTGGCCCGCGCAACCACGCCATTTATTACGTAAATAAAAATCCACAGCTGGTCCATATTGTTGGACGTCTACTCCAGTTTCCTGAAGGCAAGTGAATCAGTTGAACTGCAGTGGTGTATTGGAGTGGGAACGCGTACTGAGAACTATGTACTTAATTGATAGGCGACCCATATTTTTCGACAATCGTGAGTTTTCTCGTACTTTAACATTTATGACTACACCATAAGCTGAAGACAGTTGCAAAGTTAGTTCCGTCCGGTGCCGCTAGGGGCGTGTTTTAGTTTACATGTTGTTTCTTGTTCTCAGTTATTTTAAACCTCGTTTAAACATAAACAATATCTCGTCCTTTAGTTATTTACCATATGTAAAGCGTTATCATAAAATTGTCCCTAAAATATTATAAAAATAATTTCGTCGACACTAACGTGTCCAGGGTCCCCGTCATGCACAAGACATGAAAAACAACTTCAGAATTTACAGTGGGATGAGGAGAAGTCTACTTGTGTTGGTTAGTCTATGGTACGACAACACCTGCTCAGAACAGTTAAGTAACAGTGTTGGGCAAATAATGGTGAACATCTGAAAATAACCCTCATATTTACCCAATAATCAGAGAGACAACAAAAACTGTATTCAAAATTAGCTCGGGCAAAATCCCCTCCATTACTTATCATTAGCAGTGGCGCATTCAAGTAAAAATCTAAATAAAACAACTACTTTGATATTTTGACAGTTGGAGTGTAAGGCGTTCGTGTCCGTCTGTCCGTCTATGACATGCATGCAACCGTTTGTCATTAACAGTAACACTTGCAGATGATAACATTTATCACAAGTCGAGTTGTACTTTTGACAAAAAATATTTATTTGTGAGCTTCGTGACGCGGCCGATTGACATGACAGTTCTGTTGCAGTTTCTCCATCTCAGCGTGTTACCGCACGTCACTTCATGTAAACCACGTAACATGAAAAATGGGCCACAAATAATACAAGACATGGAAAAAGTTTGGGAACCGTACTCCACAACTAGCCTTTACCTCGTAAAATAATGCATTCCAAAATGGCTTGAATAACTCGCAGCAATCTACCTCCAACCATATATTTGCTGGTGAATTAGGCAGTGTCGCTGTATGTGTAAACATAGAGTGTTTGGCTGCAAGAGTCTCTTATCCATTCACCTTACACATGAACTTTATTTTTCAGTGCCAAAAAACAGTTTTTATCATACTGTCCGGAAAGCAGCCGTTTTTAGTTTTCTAAATCGTCAGCAAAATCATCGTTTTCATAAAACTTAATAACAGGGAACAGAAAAAAAAACATTGTAAATCTTTCGGTTCGCTATTCTCAAAACTGTATCTGTGCATTAAGAAAACGCTGCTAATCAACATAGAGATGAATGGATTATAACGATATTTAAAGTTATGTTTGTAAACAACAGAAATGTAAACATTGATGATATCTTAGTATAACCTCAAATTATATGGTCTAATTTTGTAACGATTTGAAGGTTATTTCCACAGTATGGTGAAAATAGTTCACAAGGAGCAAAAGTGTCTTTTTGGTACTTAATCGTATTTCCAAGCTCAGCTCTACTGCGTAACAAAAAGAGCTACTTTCGCTCCTAGTGATGAAAACTACAATTTGATCGACACGCATACCTGTTGTATCAAACACTTGAATAATCAATTCCTTTTAACGCATATAATGTGTTCAAACCATCTTATGATTTACGCACCTCCGTAGGATTGTAATAATAAAGACTCGTGTGAAATAACCTATAGACAATGGGTTATATCATAGATAAGACATATGTTTCTTTTAGCGAATTTCCCATATAGGGAATAAGCTATTTGTTAATATAATACTAAAGAAATAATATCAGCTACTTATACTATACTAAAATATTTAGTGAACTGTAATAACAATCCTAGTGAACAATTATTACTTAACCAGCCTTTGATTAAGAGCTCATTGGAGTTGTAGTACAGTTGCACCCGTCCTAATAAAGACATCATACCTCAGTGAAAACATTTTCTAAACTATCGCTTTATTCCTACGGTCGAGATACGGTGGTTTCATCGTAAGGCTTGTTTGTCAGAGACGGGATGAGAGTTTCGCATGATGAAAACTCGTCTCTGTCTAATGTATTGTCAATACAGCCATGGATGACGTATCCATTGACTTTGTTTGCCGTACTTTAAAATAAACTGGATTAGAACCTGTAGGTGAAATGTTGTTCCATGACCCCTTTGTTAGTTGTTTTAGTTCTTTGCGGATATTGTATCACTGTGCGGTTGCAATAGAACTTTGTTGGGCCGCGTGATCTCTCGTATTCATTGCTTTAGTCCTGTTTGTAATTATCTGTGATCAACAATATAATATGTTTACAGTATATGCTTCAAAAATTGAAACAAGCTGATTGGTGTAAACAAAACTGCATTTGCCACCAGACTGTTACAACGTGTGAAATCTCTAGTGTTTATATCTTTCGAATCGTTTAAATAACAATGTCTTCATTTGGTCTTATTCAAAGTTCCTTCGGATATATTTATGATTAGTGAGTGTGTTTTAATGACCTGAGATGTATTATAGTCTGCTCTAAACCTTGAACGTTTGACACAGAATTAAGGTAAGGGAAAGGAATTTTCGTAAACTAGCAATAACATTAAAAACCGTAATACGATGAAAAAATAGCTTATTTCCTAAATGGGAAATTCGCTAAAACAAACGGAAATGTGTTTCTTTACTTAAATATTTGATTTGGCGATCAGATTAGGTTTATGTTATAAAATTATCTTAATTAGGCTAATTGACGAACTGATGATAAGTTGGGCACACAAGGCTTGGGCACATGTAGCTTAAATTTGTAGCACAATTTAATAAAGAGTAAACTATCACAAATAGTGTGTTTTCGCAAATGCTATCCATCTAGTGTAGGTAGCTATTATTAGTCACAGCTTTAACCTTAAATTACAGTGTGCTGGGTCCGGGGACAATGTTGCTAATAGTATAATGATAACATATTTGCTTATATTGTGCACTGTAGAATATAACTGATATAGAGTTGAATGTCGTATGGTAATCGTAACAACTTTCTATAGCATAACATAAATAGGAAATGCAGTCTTTGTTCACCTAAAAAATGAGGAAGGGTGTAGCCTACGTTGACAAGCCAAGTGTGCTACGTGTAGTAGGGTCCTGGAAATGTACGAGGAGGGGACGATTACCCGCAATATTCATAGAATACGTCTCTCAACTAGAATGGGTTCGGCTAAAACACAATTTCGCTTTTAATGTTAATGCTCCAAAGCACGTGACGACTTAGACTCTGATGAAAACGCAATCTCAAACGAAACACTTTGCAAAGAAAAACTGAAACAGAGAGCGGTTGTTTAAAATAATGTTAGTTTCATAACGAGTTGGCCTAAATATCAATTTGGCTTCCGGACTCTCCAAGTTAGAAGGTCGGTTGTCAGGCAACACAGAAGATCGCGTGTGAAGTGACCTGCCTCAAACAGTGTCTCTGCAATCTACCCACACCTCTGTTACAACTCTGTTATGGCACAGCAATCTACCTACACCTCTGTGATTGACACTGCAATTTACCTATACCTCTGTTATAGTCACTGGAATTTGCAGTTACCTCTGTTACTGTCTCACCTACACTTCAGTTATTGTCACTGCAATCTACCTACACCTCTTGTATTTGTCTCTGCAATTTACCTACACCTACGTTATTGTCACTGCAATCTACCTACATCTCTGTGATTGTCACTGCAATCTACCCATACCTCTGCGATTGTCACTGCCATATATCTTAACCTCGGTTACACTCATTGAATTTTACCGAGACTTCTGTTATTGTCTCTGCACCTACAACTCTGTTATTGTCTTTGCATTTTACCTACACGTCTGTTATTGTCATGCCATCTACGTACACCTCTGTTATTATCTTTGCATTTTACCTACACGTCTGTTATTGTCATGCCATCTACCTACACTCCTGTTATTGTCTTTGCAATCTACCTACACCTCTATTTTTGTCACTGCAATCTATATACATCTCAGATACTGTCCCTGCAATTTACCTACACCTCTGTTACTGTTTCTGAAATCCACCTACGCCTCTGATACTGTCATTGTGTGAGGTGTGTACCGACACCTCCGTTATTGTCACTGCAATCTACATACATCTCTGATACTGTCTCTGCAATTTACCTACACCTACGTTATTGTCACTGCAATATACATACATCTCTGATACAGTCTCTGCAATTTACCTACACCTACGTTATTGTCACTGCAATCTACATACATCTCTGATAACAGTCTCTGAAATTTACCTACACCTACGTTATTGTCACTGCAATCCACATACATCTCTGATAACAGTCTCTGCAATTTACCTACACCTACGTTATTGTCACTGCAATCTACATACATCCCTGATACTGTCCCAGCAATTTACCACACCTACGTTATTATCACTGCAATCTACATAAATCTCTTTTACTGTCTCTGGAATGTTTCTACACCTCCGTTATTATTACTCTGTTACTCTGTCATTTTCTCTGCAATTAACCTACACCCACCTCTATTATTGTCTCTCCGATTTCCCTACACCTCTGTTATTGTCACTGCAATCTACCTACACCTCTGTTATTGCCACTGCAATCTATCTACACCTCTTTTATTGTCACTGCAATCTACCTACACCTCTGTTATTGTCACTGCAATCTATCTTCACCTCTGTTATTGTTACTGCAATTTACCTACACCTCTGTTATTCCACTGAAATCTACCTACACCTCTGTAATTGTCACTGCAATCTATCTACACCTCTGTTATTGTCACTGCAATCTACATACATATCTGGTAATGTCTCTGCAATCTACCTACACCTCTGTTACTGTTTCTGCAATCTACCTACTCCTCTGTTACTGTCATTGAAATTCACCTACAGCTCCGTTATTGTTACTGCAATCTACCTACACCTCTGTTATTGTCACTCCAATCTACATTAATCTCTGTTACTGTCTCTGCAATTTACCTACACCTCCGTTTTTGTTCTGCAATGTACCTACACATCCGTTATTGCTACTGCAAATTACCTACACCTCTGTAATTTACCTACACCCACCTCTATTATTGGCTCTCCAATTTCCCTACACCTCTGTGATTGTCACTGCAATCTACCTACACCTCTGTTATTCTACTGAAATCTACCTACACCTCTGTAATTATCACTGCAATCTATCTACACCTCTGTTATTGTCTTTGAAATCTACCTACACCTCTTTATTGCCACTGCAATTCACCTACACCTCTGTTATTGTCACTCCAATCTAAATTAATCTCTGTTACTGTCTCTGCAATTTACCTACACCTTTGTGATTGTCACAGCAATCTACCTACACATTTCTTACTAACCATTATACTACTGCACTTGCAATACTAAGACTAAAAAAATATGACCTACGTCAATCGTCAGTGTCTGAGCAATATATCTTCATAACTGTTAAAAACAATTTACACTTGACATTCTCAACATAAAAGCTAGGTCACTGTAAACCGGAGGTGCTGCTGTAATATACTGCGATAGACTACTTAACTATAATTGGTATTCTTTTAAAATTATTACACAAACCTTTATTAATAATGGCTATTACCTTATAGTGAAGCTGTTATAAATCTAAAACCGATTGTTATAATTTATCAGCATCTTGGCCTGAGAGCCATGACCATTGACCAGAGTTACAGTATACAGAGTGCTGGTAATGTATCATCTGTGGTTTGTAAAGCAAGCAAGTCTTTTGGACTGAGACTGAGTAAGACATTGATGCCAAGTAAACCACGGGTTTCAGAGGACATTGGATAATACTGTGAATTTTTTCACATTATACAAGTGCTGGTGGTGTATAATGTGATGGCTTGTTACAGAATGCCAGTCCCCTGGCCTGAGACTGAGGAGGAGAGTGAAGCAAAGCGACCACGAGTCTCAGAGGACATTGGACGCAGCCGAGAGTGTCGACGCAGTATACAGAGTGCTGGTGGTGTCTGCTGGTCTTCCTCTGACCTTGCACTTGCTGCCAAACTTTTAGAGACACCCAACGCCAGGTTTCCAACAATAACAGTCAGCAACGTAGAGGAGAAAAGACGGGTATTCACCCTCGTCTATGATGTCCTTCGTTGTAAGTTTTTTTTTAAGTGTACGTTTAAGACAATATTTTATCAGTAAATATTAATCTTAGTATCCAAGTTTTTTTAGACCTATACCCCCGCCGCAGCAAACCTGCAGACTAAGCGAATTTCAACTTGTCTAATTACATTTTTACTACAATATTTCCATAAATAAGACATATTTATTCCCTATTTAAATAACATTAGATTTATCAAGTGCTTAGGGGAAGGTAAAACGTGTTTTTTGACCATACATCAATAGTATAAGATGAAATAAATAAATTTGCCAAATTGTATCAATATATCCATAAACAAGTTAACTACAACAATTTTAATTTTCTCTATAACATGGGATTTTAAATTACACTATTTTTGAATTTTCTCCGTGACCGTTAGGCATACAACATCGCTTCAATATACAAAAATTTTTTTTTAAGCTCTACAAAACGGTTTGAAAAGAAATTGCAAATTCTTTTGTTTTTAGGGTCAAAAATGGTTAAAACCCATTTTTACCCCATAAAACCCCGTTCCCATGGTCCGATTATCCTGGATCGTGAACTCATTCGAATAAACGTAGGTTTACACGTTTGTACCAAATTTAATCAAAATCGGATCATTTTTGCTTGAGTTATCGCGCTAACGGACTCATATATATAATATATATGAATTTGAACTTATGGTGTTTTTGGCCTCTAGGGACCTCAAAATGAAAAATCAAATCGGTCCCGGGTCCAGGTCTTAACATGAGTACTACGGTAATAGCTTATTCGCTATATGGGAAATTTCCTAAAACGTATGAGGTGGCTAATTTGAGAGACAATATGTCAGCTTTACAATCTTCACTGTATGCTTTACACAAGAATAATTTTCTGATGATAAAAATGGTCATCAAAACAACTTTTTTATTGATTTAGCTTTTTGTTTTAGATAAATCTGTACTGAACCAAGCCCTCAGTGATGTTTATTTCTTCAGCCGCTACTCTTACGTAAGTTTTCAAATTCAAGCACTTCTAAGATTTTTATATCCAGGAAAATCTCTTACACCAACTGTTTATAAAAGTACATAAAAATAAACAAACTCAATCCCAAAATCAAAAGTCATTTACTGTAAAATAAGAATAATAACATGCATAGTTTCAATATAGTAATTTTTAAATTGTACAAATTAATACACAATCAAGGCAATCTCTGGAGGATAAGAATTCAGAGGAAGAACATTGATAGGAACAGTAACTGTATAAATATACAACAAAATATGTCGTGTAAGTTGGAAAGACAGATAATCGAGCTGTCAATATGTCAGCAATCCTGGAAGAAACGTTATATGACAGTTGTTCAGTTCAGTCCATATTGTATTACAAGTAATCCAATATGGAAGCGGTTGCCAAAATTGGCTATTGATATTACTCCCATTTTCCTCTTGCCAGATTTTAAGTATGTTGCTCAGCATCCAAAATTTATTCTTGATTAATAGGAACCTGGGGATCAATCAAATTGCGGTATGCTTAAAAATCGGGAGGTGGTACTTTGCTAAGAGGTTCATATATCTAAAAAATCTCCTATATGTTACTCTATGTGAACTCACATCTAAACAGTATTGTAATGAAGTGTTCAAGAAGGCAAATGTAAGGGAATTTCATATGGGCAAAAACTACAAAGCACCAGAAAAAGTGCGGAGTGAATTCCCTAAGGAAAAAGAACACAAGGAAAGTGCAGAGAGTAAAGTGCGCAGGACTTTCGCTGGGGACTGGGTACTGGGGTTCCCCTTAACTCAGGTGTCTGGGATGGGGAACGCCAAGTGGCGTCAATAACTGAGGGGAAAACTCACCCCAAGGTTTGCTCTGGCCAGAGCTGGAAAATTTACTAAGGGAAATACCTTCGCAGAACACAGGAATTTATCAGAAGAATTGATCAGGTTCTATGGTACAATACACTTCCCACCCAGACACAAGAGGAAGGAAGAATTGCCCACAGGAGAGTTCCGCGAAAGGGCTTTAGATGAGAAATTTGCACCCTCTGGAACTCTCTTTCCCCACCCCAGAAACCTGAGTTGTCAATGGTCGTTTTTCTTCAGGAAGTGGGAGAGAGGCCTTGTTTGTCCCTTTGGAGAGGAGTGTCCTCTTTAGGGGGGGGTGGGGGGAGGTTGAGCCATGACTACTTTCCACTGACGAATGTCACGACTTAATTTCAGTGTTCAAGTTGTTTTTTGTATAGAGTGTGTTTTGCAATGTAACTGTTTGATGTTCCTCAGAGATTCTCAATGCGTCACAAATTCTTCTTACTCCTGCCGCGGAATCGCCATAGGCTCCGAGACTGCTAAAACATCAACCTCGTAGCATTTATTTTCCATCTTTTAGCATCTACCTTTTGGTGTTTTAAGTAGCTCTTATTTTCCATTTTTGTACTGTGCTTAGTCTACGATGATGTGTCTAAGATCGCCGAGTATGCCTGATGGGTAAGTTTTGGATAATTTTCTTTATACTCAGGTTAGTTGCTCTGAGCACATTGTTTCACTGGCTTTGAACCTAGGATTTGGGTGCGTCGAACAGTTTGTTGCTTGTTTTCTAATTGCATTGTTTTTGCTCTTTTCAAGACTTTACCCGGGATGCTAGGACAGAAAAAAACTGGGAAATGTTTGGTTGAAAACCGCTGTTTGTGAGAAACTGCCCAGTCAGTCCAGACTCCTTGATTCCATCTTTCATGACGTCAAGTTTAAATTCGTGTTCAATCATCTCGACGATCTTCTGGTGTACAGTGAGAGTATTGAAGACCATCTGATTCATCTAGAAGAAGTAATGAGTAGATTGAATAGGGCTAGCCTTACCGTAAATCCTGACAAGGTTAGTTTTGTGAAGCCGGAAATTTCAGCATGGTAGGTTTCTGCCGACGCTTTATTCCCAATGTGGCTGAATTGGCAGCTCCTCTCAATGAGCTCCGGAAGAAGGGCGCCAAGTTTGTGTGGGGTTAAGCGCAGCAGACATCTTTTGACCTTCTTAAGGAGGCCATCATGCAGCCCCCTGTTTTCTATATAATTCCCTCTTCACCAAGTCAATTCCTTCTGATCAGCTCATTAGGATGTTTTTCTTTAAATGTCGGCTGGAAAAAAATTGCCTCTACCGGCGAATCCAGTTTAATTCTAACTGCGTCAAAAATATTTATGTCGTTATTAAACATTAGATTCCTTTACTTAATTAGATCGTGGGTTTTTCTTCACTACCACAACCGTAAATTCTAGCCTTTTCTAACCAATTATCTTTCAAATAAAAATTCTCTTGAGCGGTTCAAAGTTAGTAATGCGGTTAGAGGAATGAGAAGAGAACAGAAAACAGAGGATATTTGCTCCCAAAGGAAAGGGATTTATAAGAAGTTGAGAGGAGAAACAAAGAGAAGGTCTTGATGGGATTGATGGTTCTCTATTTCGTTATTAAAAAGTATAATCATCGAGGAAAAAGACAACGTAGACGCAAACGGACAAAGTTTTGAGGAGGGTCGAACATTTACATCTAGGGTGGGGAAGAGAGTTCCGGAGGGTGCACATTTCTCATGTAAAGTCCTTCCGCAGAACTCTCCCGTAAGCAATTCTTCCTGCCCCTTGTGTCTGGGTGGGAAGTGCACTGAGCCAGAGAACCTGATCAATTCTTCTGTCCCCTGTGTTCTGCGAAGGTATTTCCCTTTAGTAAATTTTCCAGCTCTGGCCAGAGCAAACCCTGGGGTTGAGTTTTCCCCTAAGTTTTGGAAGCCCTTGGGATTCCCCACCCCCAGACACCTAAGTTGTCATTGGTGTCGTGTTTCTTAAGGAAGTGGGAGAGAGGCCTTGTTTGTCCCTTTGGAGAGGAGTGTCCTCTTTTGGGGATGGGGGGAGGTTGAGCTGTGACTACTTTCCACCGATGAATGTCACGACTCATTTTCAATATTCAATTGTTTTTGTATAGTGTGTGTTTTGTCATGTAACTGTTCGACGTTCGTCGAGAGTTTGACCGCTTGCGTCTACTTTGTCTTTTACCTCGATGATTATACATTTAATAACGAAATAGAGAACCATCAATCCCATCAAGACCTTCTGTTTGTTTTTCCTCCCAACTTCTTATGAATCCCTTTCCTTTGAGAGCAAATGTCCGCTGTTTTCTGTTCTCTTCTCATTCTTCTAACCGTCTTACTAACTTTGAACCGCTCAAGAGAATTTTGATTTTAAAGATAATTGGTTAGAAAAGGCTAGAATTTACGGTCGTGGTAGTGAGGAAAAACCCACGATCTAATTAAGTAAAGGAATATAATGTCTAATAACGACATAAATATTTCTGGCGCAGTTAGAATTCAACTGGATTCGCAGGTAGAGGCCATTTTTTTCCGGCCGACATTTATAGAAAAAACATCCAAATGAGCAGATCAGAAGGAATTAAATTGTTGAAGAAGGAATTTTATAGAAAACAGGAGGCTGCATGATGGCCTCCTTAAGAAGGTCAAAAGACGTCTGCTGCACTTTACCCCACACAAACTTGGCGCCCTTCTTCCGGAACTCATTGAGAGGGGCCGCCAATTCAGCAACATTGGGAATAAAGCGTCGGTAGAAACCTACCATGCTGAAATTTCCGGCTTCGCAAAATTAACCTTGTCAGGAGTTACGGTAAGGCTATCCCTATTCAATCTACTCATTACTTCTTCTAGATGAATCAGATGGTCTTCGAAACTCTCACTGTACACCAGAATATCGTCGAGATAATTGAACACAAATTATGTGTCTCAGATGGGTAGGTTATGGATAATTTTCTTTGGACTTAGGTTAGTTGCTCTGAGCACATTGTTTCACTGGCTTTGAACCTAGGATTCGGGTGCGTTGAACAGTTTGTTACTTGTTTTCTAATTACACTGTTTTTGCTCTTTTCAAGACTATACCCGGGATGCTAGGACAGAAATAAACTGGGAAATGTTTGGTTAAAAACCGCTTTTTGGGGGAAACTGCCCAGTCAGTCCAGACTCCTTGATTCCATCTTTCATGACGTCAAGTTTAAATTGGTGTTCAATCATCTTGACGATATTCTGGTGTACAGTGAGAGTTTTGAAGGCCATTTAATTCATCTAGAAGAAGTAATGAGTAGATTTAATAGGGCTAGCCTTACCGTAAATCCTGACAAGGTTAGTTTTGCGAAGCCGGAAATTTTAGCATGATAGGTTTCTGCCGACGCTTTATTACCAATGTGGCTGAGTTGGCAGCTCCTCTCAATGAGCTCCGGAAGAAGGGCGCCAAGTTTGTGTGGGGTTAAGCGCAGCAGACGTCTTTTGACCTTCTTAAGGAAGCCATCATGCAGCCCCCTGTTTTCTATAAAATTCCCTCTTCACCAAGTCAATTCCTTCTGATCTGCTCATTAGGTTGTTTTTCTTTAAATGTCGGCTGGAAAAAAATGGCCTCTACCGGTGAATCCAGTTTAATTCTAACTGCGCCAGAAATATTTATGTCGTTATTATACATTAGATTCCTTTACTTAATTAGATTGTGGGTTTTCCTCACTACCATGACCGTAAATTCTAGCCTATTCTAACTAATTTATCTTTAAAATAAAAATTCTCTTGAGCGGTTCAAAGTTAGTAAGACGTTTAGAAGAATGAGAAGAGAACAGAAAACAGCGGACATTTGCTCTCAAAGGAAAGGGAATCATAAGAAGTTGGGAGGAAAAACAAAGAGAAGGTCTTGATGGGATTGATGGTTCTCTATTTTTTATTCAAAAGTATAATGATCGAGGTAAAAGACAAAGTAGACGCAAGCGGTCAAACTGTTGAGGAACGTCGAACAGTTACATGACAAAACACACACTATACAAAAACAACTTGAACACTGAAAATGAGTCGAGACATTGGTCGGTGGAAAGTAGTCACAGCTCAACCTCCCCCTGCCCCCAAAAGAGGACATGCCTCTCCAAAGAAAAAAACAAGGCCTCTCTCCCACATCCTTAAGAAACACGACACCATTGAAAACTCAGACGTCTGGGGT